TTTTTCTTTTTGCAGAACCAGAGATTGAACTCAGGCCCTTGTGCTTGCCAGGCAAGCATTTATTCTACTGAGCCATCTCCCCAGCCCCTTACCTAAGCATATTTGGGAAAAGAATGGTGACTAAAGATTTTTTTTTCCCTCGGTACTGTGGATCAAAGTCGGTCTTGTGCTTGCCAGGCAGGTGCTTAGGCTGCCAAGCTATCTCTTTGGCCCGAGATTGCAGATATTGACAGCTAATCAAACAGGAAAACTAGGATTTTGGTTTTATTCCTTGGAAATCATTGTAGTTTCTGTAACTTTTCTACATGCCTAGCCAAATATGGGGGTGCACAACTGTGATCTCATGCTCTGGAAGGTGAGGCAGGAGGTTCACAAATTTAAGGCCATGCTCAGCTACACAGGGAGTTCAAGGCTAGCTGGACTACATAATGAGACCCTGTCCAAAAAAAAAAAAAAAATCTAGTTAGGCCTAATTACATGTCACTCACATGCCAAATATTTGGGGTTTTTTTGTTGGAGATTGATTTTTGTAATAGTCCTTTGAACCCAGGGTCAAAGGTACTGAGCTGTTTCCCTCATTATTACATTTTTGCAGCTATGTGCACCTGTCATAATCAAGATAAAGATCTCCTGTGCTACTTTATAGTTTTCTCTCCCCCAGCCCCAGGAAACCACTGATTTACTTTTTGTTAGTATAAAGAGATTTGCATTTTATATAAATGGTACCATAAAAAAATTACTACATTTTCTTTTTTCTGTTTTGGTAGGCTTTGAGGCATCTTGATATGTAGTTGAAGCTGTTTTGTTTTGTTTTTTGGGGCGGGGGGTGGGAACTGGGGATTGAACTCAGGCCCTTGTGCTTGCCAGGCAAGCACTTATTCTACTGAGCTATCTCCCCAGCCCCTGAAGCTGGTCTTGAATTTATGATTGTCCTACTTCAGCCTTCCAAGTACTGGGATTATAGGCATGCACCACTACACCTTGCTAAAAAGAGGTTTTAGATGCTTTGCAAAGTTGAAAGGCCAGTGCAGAATTTCCCATGTAGTCCATCTTGATACATGCCTACCCTGCACCACTGTCAACACCTCCACTAGAGGGGTGATTTGTTAAAATTGATACACCTATAGTGCTGTGTTTAAGGGTCACTTTTTTTTTTTTTTTGTTCTTTTTTGTGGCCACCTCAGCCTGCCCTGGGGGAGGGGCTGGCACAGCATGTGGTGCCAGGGAATTGAATCTCAGTCCCTGCACTTGCCTAAGCAGGCACTTTAGACTGCTGAGCTATCTCCCTGGCCCAAGGGTCACTTTTTTCATTGGATAGTTTGTGGACCCAGATAAATGTGTAATGACAAGTGGTCACCATTATAGTATGTAGAATAGTCTCACTGTATTTGGTCTGTTCCCTCCCGCCCACGAGCTTTGGCAACCCAAGATCTGTTTATTGTCTCACAGTTTGTCTTTTTCCAAAATGTCATATACTGTAATTGGAATCATACATGATGCAGCCTTTTCAGGTTAGTTTCTTTCACTTAGTAATATACATCGAAGGTCCCCCGTGTCTTTTATTTTTCAGTGCTGGGGATTGAACTCTGCATGTCTTCTAGTTTGATAGCTCATTGATTGGTTGATTGATTGATTGATTGATTGATTGATACAAGGTCTCACATGCAGTTCAGACTCTAGTGATCCTCCTGCCTTAGCCTCCTCAGTTGGTGGGATTACAGGCATGTGAACCATACCTGGTTTCAGGCAGGCACAGTGCACCCATTGATCCAGGGCCAGCATTGCATCTGGGGCCAGCACTGCATGCAGTGCCAGGGATCGAACTTGGGACTTGTGCTTACTAGGCAGATGCTTAAACCACCAAGCTGTCTCCCCAGCCCACTCTTTTTTTTTTTTTGGTCTTGAGTAGTGGTTTCTGGATGTAGTAGTTTGTCCATTCACTGGCTCTTGGACATCTTGGTTGTTTCAGGTTTTTGTAAATGCCAAGGTGAAGAATTACTGGATTATAAGAGTGTGTTTAGGGCTGGTGAGATGGCTCAGTGGTCTAAAACACCTACTTAGAACAAGCTTAGCGAAAGCACAGGGACCATGGTTCAATCCCCCAGCACCACATGCCAGCCAGCCCCGCCCCCTGGTGGGCTGAGCTGGCCACACACACACACACACACACAGACACACATTTAAAAAAATATATTAAAAAAAAAAAAGAGTGTGTTTAGCTTTGTAATAACCCATCCTATTCTTCTAGAGTGGCTATACAATCTTGGAAACCCACTAACACCAGTGCCTTCAGGACTTGGGAGCTTGGTCTTATTTTTTAATTTTATTTGTTTTTTTTTGTTTTTTTGTTTTTTTTTTTTTTGAGATAGTTATCCCAGCCTCCAGAGAGCTGGGATTACAGGTGTGCACTACAATGCCTGGCTTTTTCCTGTTTTCATGTTGAATATTAGTATTTATTACTTTTGGGGGGTGGACTGAGAATTGAACTTAAGACCTCATGCTTGCCAAGCAGGCACTGGGCCACTCAGCTAAATCTTTGGCCCATTCATGTTGAGTATTGAAGAAGCTACCATTTTATGATGCTTTAGAAAAAGATTAATAGGGGCCGGGGAGATGGCTCAGTGGAATAAACGCTTCCCTGGCAAGCGCAAGGGCCTGAGTTCAATCCCTGGTTCCGGGAAAAAAAAATTTTGTTTGTTTTGTACTAGGAATTAAACTCAGGATCTTGCACTTTCCAGGCAGGTGCTCGTGCTGCTGAGCTATGTCCTCAGTCCCAGTCAACATTGTTTTTTATTTTGCAGGTCTGGAAATTGAACTCAGCTGTGTGTGTGTGTGTGTGTGTGCGTGTGTGTGCGTGCGCGCGCGCGCGCGCATGTGTGTGTGTTACAGGGTCTCATGCAGCCCAGGCAGGCCTCAGACTGGCAACAATCCTTCCTCAGCCTCCTGAGTGTGGGATTACAGGATTATACCACCACACCTAGCAACTGAGCCTTTTTAAATTTTGAGGCTGTTTTATCAAGTTGCCCAGGATGGACACCAACTTGTAATCCTCCTGCTTTAGCTTCCCGGAGTACTGACAGTACAGGTCTATGCTAAAGGGCCTGCTTGACATGACATTTTATTGTCAGGCCTGTGTGGCCAAATGGTATGTTACATAGTTACCACCTCATTTCTGCCAATATCACAGAGATGCAGCACTTTTTCTGACACTGTCCATTCCTTCACATTCATAGGTAGTAGTTAAGAGAGCAAGGGCTATACGATTATGTTTGACTTTTCAGCCAGATTGTTGGCATTAGTGGGAAAAAAAAGAAAATAAGTAGAACCCTCCACACAATGGCTCATATAGAGTATTTACTTTAGCAAGTGGTGTGTGTGTCTGTCTAGACTTTAGCTCATAGACTGACTCAGGACCCCTGTACAAGTGGACAGCATGCAAAAACAACCAGTTTCTTAGCCCACGGCTTTTATTTACTCTGTGATGAAAAGGAAGAGGATGACCTTGATGATAAGTAGATTTGTCCTTAATATTTTACAATAAATGTGATAGGTTGTGTCTGAGCATAAGGAGAAGGGTCAATACTAGGGTGATAACAATGACCTTTCAGAGACATAGAAACTCTTCAATCTAAGTATTATTTTATTTTGTCCTTTGGAGACAAGGTTTCACTGTGCAGTTCAGGCTGGGCTTGAGCCTACTTTTTAGTCACAACAATCCTCATGCCTCTCAGTGCTGGGATTACAGGTATATGCCAGCACTTTTTTTTTTTTTTTTTTATTTATGTGTGTGTGTGTGTGTGTGTGTGGCCAGCTCAGCCCACCAGGGGGCGGGTCTGGCTGGCATGTGGTGCTGGGGGATTGAACCGCGGTCCCTGTGCTTTGCTAAGCTTGTTCTAAGTAGGTGCTTTAGACCACTGAGCCATCTCCCTAGCCCCAGCACTTTCGTTTAAAGAGCACTTAATCAGCCTGTGCATAAAGTTCAGAGATAGCACTTGTGGAGTGTGAGGAAGGCCTTGGTTCCATGCGCTGCAGACAGTCAGTTAGTCAAGCCTGATCCTCCTGCATCAGCTTCCCAGTTGCTGGGATTATAGGCACATGCCACCAAATTATGAATGTTTTTTCCAAGCCTATATTTTGTTTTTGTTTTTGTTTTGTTTTATGTCTTTTTCTGCAATGCAGTTCAGGTTGAACTTGAGCTCACTTTGTAGCCCAGGCTAGTCTAGAATTTGCAACAATCTTCTTTCCTTGGCCTCCTGCATCCAGAGTGCTGGGATTACACCACCACCACTGGCTCTAAATTGTTTTAAGACAGTCTCACTGTGTAGTTTAGACTATTCTTACACTATGTTGCTCAGGCTTTCCTCAAACTCATGGTGTTCCTCCTGCCTTAACCTCCCAAATGCTGGCATTATAAGCATGTACCACCATACCTGACCAAGCCTATATTTACAATCCAATATTTAAGGGTCTTTTCTTTCTCTCTCTTTTATTTGGTACTGGGGCTTGTATCCAGGACTTTCACCTTGATGTACATCCCCAGATACCTCGCCCTCTTTTTTTTTTTTTAAATTTTATTTATTTATTTAATTTTAATTATTATTTATTTTTAATTTTATTTATTTATTTGTGTGACCAGCACAGCCCACCAGGGGGCAGGGCTGGCTGGCATGTGGTGCTGGGGGATTGAACCGTGGTCCCTGTGCTTCGCTGAGCTTGTTCCAAGTAGGTGCTCTAGACCACTGAGCCATCTCTCCAGCCCCAACCTCGCCCTCTTTTTAAAGACAGTTCTCACTATATCACTAAGTTGGCCAGGTAGAGCTAGAGTTTGTAATCCTGCCATAGCCAGAGTCCTGGGATTACAGGTGTTCCCCATAATCTGAGAGTCTCGCTGTAAAGTTCAGGCTGGCCTTGAGTTTACTTTGTAGCCCAGGCTGGTCTCAAACTCACAACAATCCTCATGCCTCCCAGTGCTAGGATTATAGGTATATGCCAGCACTTTTCTTTTAAAGAGCAATTATCAGCCTGAGCATAAAGTTCAGTGATAGTACTTGCAGAGTGTGAAGAAGGCCCTAGGTTCCATGTGATAGGTTGTGTCTGAGCATAAGGAGAAGGGTCAGTACTAGAGTGATAACAATGACCTTTCAGAGACTTAAGAACTGTTAAATCTAAGTATTTTATTTTATCGTTTTGAGTCAGGCCACATAGGCCTGATAATAAAATGTCAAATTAACCTAGGTTAATTTGGCATTTCAGATTTCTACCAGTGGTTTTTTTTTTTTTTTTTTTTTTTTAGCACCATTCTTCTCTTCCTCCTTTTCTTCCTCCTTTTTTTAAGGATAGCAAAGTTTTGTTAAAGATAGGAAAAAAGAACAGGCTCTACAGAGTGAGTATGGGCCAAGTAAAAGTAGGAAAGAAGTATACCTTACAGTGTGAAGGTGGGCCACACGCAGATAACAGTGGCCAGCACTGTTCTCTCCTGCCTTGAACTGTTTGCTTTGCTATTTGACCCTCCTTTTCTGCTTGTACCCATTTTCTAGTTGTGGCCCAATACGTTCAGCTTACATTGTTTTGCTCAGATGGAATGCCTTCCTGATATATCTGTTTATTGACAAGGACATGGTAAAATTTGTGGAATAATGAAAGTTATTTGCATATTGAAGAATGCTGGGTTCTGGCCAGCAAACCCTGACAGACAAATGAAAAACTGGAGAAACAGAGAATATCTTTGAGGAGGGTGAGGGAACCCCACTGAAATGGAGCCCTAAACTGACTCAGACTCCCACATTTATTGAGGAACAACAAAGAGTTCATGGAGTTCTACTGAGCACAGGTGTTTGTTTTAGAAAACGAGACAGGTTAGCAAGGCATGATGACAGTTTAGCAGAGTAATTAGCTTTTATCTCATTGTCCCCCAGGATTCTTCCTTGTGTTCCCCATAAGACCCATCTCGGGGCCGGGGAGATGGCTCAGTAGAATCAGTGCTTGCCTGGCAAGCACAAGGGCCTGAGTTCGATCCCCGGTTCTGCAAAAAAAAAAAAAAAGACCCATCTCTGCTCAAGTTGGCAAAACATCCTGCTTTCAAGATGTCTGGCTCCTCAGAGTTAGCAGAATCCCACCTCCCAAGCAGACATCAGCCCACTGAGTGTAGCAAGGAACTCCACAGAGAATCAGTGGAAGTGGAAAACAGAAAGCTGGTCTTAAAGTCATGTGACTCAGAAGCTGCAGGACTTCGATGAAGTCTCTTCTCTGAGTCACATTTTCTCAACTGTGAATGAGGAAGAAAGGCTGACTGTCTCATGATTATAACAACTACTGGAGAAAATGAAATACTAGAGGATTTCAGAATCTGAGATCCATTACAGTTGGCTGTTACATAGCTTGGTGTGAACTGAGGCTGGATGGTTGTGAAGCCCAAATGAAAGAATTCTTGTGAAAAGTTCTAGAAATTTTAAATTAATGCATAAGTGTAGCTGCTGTTGTAGCAAACAAAAGGGAGTGAGAGGAGGGTTGTTCTGGGTGCAGATGATTTAATTAGTATAACATTCTAAGGCATTTCTCAGTATCTCTGCTGCCCAGAGTTGCATCTGAAACTTAGATACTTGTTGCTTTTCTGAGTGGGGATAATGGTGGATCTGATCTCTTTTCTTTTGTTCTTACAGCTGTATTATCAAGTCCTAAATTTTGGAATGATTGTCTCCTCGGCACTAATGATCTGGAAGGGGTTAATGGTAATAACTGGAAGTGAAAGTCCAATTGTAGTGGTGCTCAGGTAACAATTTTTCTTTTCAAGGCATGGAATTACATGGTATTGCTTGGAGGAAAATTGAGAAAAAAATCAGAAAAACAATAACTGGAACATCATTCTCCTAGAAAATACTCTTCTCAGAAGAGAATCCAGGAGAAAATTTGTTATTCTCATTTATGAGAAATTCTTAACCTTGTTAGATATACCCACATTGAGAACCTCAAAAGGCCTGTGACCTTTGTATAAAAGGATTACCAGGAGAACTTGATTTTTGGCTCATCCCTTTAAAACAAAGTTTCTTTGCACTTCATTTTCCTGAAATACTTTTATCTTAGTATATTCCTCACTTTGATACATTAGGCCTGGTATGTAATTGTTAGTTCATTATATTTTATAGTACCTCCACAAATGAGAGTCTTACTGCAGTATGTCCTCAGTAGTTCAGACTGCCCTTGAACTCACTTTGTAGCCTAGGCTGATCTTGAACTTGCAAGAACTTGCTGATCTTGATCTTCCTGCCTCAGCCTCCCAGGTGGTAGGCTTATAGGCATTTACCACCATGCCAGGCTATATTTTTTTTTGACCTTTCAATATCACTTCTAACCAGGACTTTGAAGGTATTAATCCTGGGATTGAACTTAGGCCCTTGCACTTGCCAGGGAAGCGCTTATTCTACTGGAAGCGCTTATTCTACTGAGCCATCTCTCTGGCCCTGAATTTTACTCTGCCTCCTTCCCTACCTTTGCACTCATCCTGTTAGTGATTTTTAAATCCAATTAATAATTAATTTTTCACATAAAGATTTCACCTATTTGAAGCCTTTTTATTTAATAATCCTTAGAACAACTGAATAATTTATTATGTTGGTTACATAGATAGGATATTTGAGAGTGTGAAATCATTTGTATATTTGAAGGCAACTGGTATGCATGAATGATTTCTCACATAGCTTATATTTATATGTTTTCTCTCCATTGTGATGCTTTCATGTATTCGAAAATTATAGAAGGCATTAAATCATTCCTTACGTATATACGGTTTTGCTGCAGTGTGAGTCCTTTCATGAAAGTGAAGACATTTGGAAAATTTGAAGGCTTTTCCACATTGCCTGCATTGATATGATGTCTCTCGAGGATGAATTCTATAAACATTGATGTAATTGGAGCAGGCAAAATGTTTTCCTTTGTGTGTGTGTGTGTGTGTGTGTGTGTGTGTGTCATTTTAAGATAGGCTCTTGGGGTCTGGGGAGATAGCTCAGTAGAATAAGCGCTTGCCTGGCAAGCACAAGAGCCTGAGTTCAATCCCCAGTTCTACAAAAAAAAAAAAAAAAAAAACAGGGTCTTGCTATGAAGTTCAGACTGGCCTGGAGCTCACTTTGTAGCCCCGGACAGTCTTAAACTTGCAAGGATCTTCCTATCTTAGCCTCCCAAGTGCTGGGATTATAAACATGTGCCATCACGCCTGGCCAACATTATTTATATTGATGAGGTTTCTTACCAGTGTAAATTCTTTCTTTCTTTCTTTCTTTCTTTCTTTCTTTCTTTCTTTCTTTCTTTCTTTCTAAATTCTTGATGTACATGATTCTTTACATTCGTAAGGTTTCTCTCCAGTGTGAATTGTTCTGTTCATCTGAGGGGAAGTGCAGCATAAGAATGCTTTCCCACATTGCTTACACCTACAATATTCTTCTGCAAAGGGAATTTGTTCATGTTTTCTAAGGGTACTGAAAGAACTAAAGTTTTTCTGCATATACAAGTTTTCTTCCTTGTATGAGTATTTCTGGGATTCAAAAGGGAACTTGAATGTTTGAAAGCTCTCCCACATTGTTTACATTCATAGGCTTTCTCCCCAGGGTATGACATTTCAAGCTTCTCAAAGCAGTTAGATTAAGGGTTTTCCATGTCCCTTAGGTTTATCTGGCGTCTCTCCATATTTCTGATTCTCAATCACACAGTTTGTGTCCACTGTAAGCCCTGAGGGACACAGTTTTTTGTTTTTTGTTTTTTGTTTTTTTTATTAATCGGACAGTTTTAATAGTCAGTACACTGTACATTGTTATCTTCTTAGCGGTTATCCATAGTATAAGAAGCAGGCCTTTCTTGGGGGCCAGGGAGATGGCTCAGTGGAATAAGCGCTTCCCTGGCAAGGGCAAGGGCCTGAGTTCAATCCCCGGTACTGCCAAAAAAAAAAAAAAAGAATTTCATCAGGGGCTGGGGAGATGGCTCAG